GTTGAACCTGCCGATCCCGTTGAAGTTGTGATAGAAAAACCTATTAGTTTTGTTAATAAAGAATTGTTTTAAAAAAAATCTCCTCACTTGTCATTTCCCGCCAAAAATAAGGAACTGTCAGACATAGACAAAGAACCCGATCACAAACATAACATGTAAAAGTTAAAGAACCAGCATTTTCAACAAGATCCTTTGGTTTAACAATTCTGGCTCTAGATTTATTTACTCCATCTGTAACTAGCAGAATTCAAATGGTGAACTGTCCACTTAGGTAATAAATTAGAGTGTTACATTTCACATCCTTCTCTGATTTGGAAAATGATATCCAAGAATTCCCAATTTGGACATTACCAGTTTCCTTGGTATTTTGTAAACCCTGCCTTAAGTAGTGGAATAGCAGCTGATTGCATTGCCCATCGTAGCACATTTCAAATTTCTAATTAGAGGTGCACTTATTAAGCATACAGATAATCCAGGGAAGGTTTGTATCTTTTAGATCTGTCCATATCTGGGAGTTTAGTTCCCAGAAATTCCAGCCAGCATGGCTGGTGGCCAGGCATTTTGGAGTATATGAACCCTAAGACATCATAAGAACCTTAGGTGCCTGAGTCCTGTAGGTACTATTTTTCTCGGGGTGGAGGTGGAAACTTACCTTCCTGATGCATCAGTTGCTGCTTTGTTTAATGTGTCCTCTTGTTTCCAGACAAAGAACGGAAAAGATGAGTTTGTTGAAGGATGAAGCGACGAGACAAATTAATCTTGCCTCTTCCTTCAACAAATATATCATTGGCATTGTTTATTATATTAGTTGCCCTGGGCATACCCTTTCTGTTTGTTTGAAGGCTGTACTTGAAACTTGATCTTCTTATCTTGACAAGGTGTGTTGTACTTCCTCTGTTACTCTGTTTTCTTCTTCTGCCTGAAGTATGTATGTCAGGTTGGTATTTTCAACAGTGTTTACACAGGAACAGAGGCAAGCCTTTACTAGAGTAATTTTTTGTGTGCCTTTTATTTTTAATAATTTTGTATATAGGCCATAGGCAACTTGTGACTGACTGCAGCAGGGGGGTCGCTCTGCCCCAACAATTTGGGATCAGATCCTCGCCTCAACTCCAGATCATGAAGTATTTGTATAAAAGATCTAAGTTAGTACATTGTCATTATTGCAGATTAATCCCTAGAGAGAGCTCATGATCTCTTGTGGTCATTTGGCTGCTTTAAAGCTACCTTTAGGGCTTTATGTGCAAATTCCAACAGTGCTCTTTGAAGGAAGGCATCACATGCAACATGGCTGATGGATTAACCAATTTTTGTTCCAAGTTAGTGTCTGAATTTGAGACACCCTCCCCAGGAAATTTATTATTGCCACCCTGCATTCCATGACGGTTATTATTTAATAATAAATACTTATTATTTTTATTTTGTTTGTTAGAAGGAAGATCTGCATTGGTTGCACCCCCCCCTCTTTTCCTTTTTCTATTGAACTGGCAATCGGGATGCTCCTGTTATGGGAAATGTTTCCTTCCTTCTAACTTAGAAACTTTATAAACAAGAAGTTTATCTCCTCCTTTCTTAGCTGGGAAAGTCTCTGTAAAAGTGTAAGAGCAGAAAAGGCACTGAGCACTTTTATCTAAGAATGACTTTTATTACCCATTAGGAAAAAAAGGAATACAACAATATATTCTTTTAAAGAGAGAGAGATTGAGAGAGAGAGAGAGAGAGAGAGAGAATGCAATAACAGAAGAATAACCCATGGCTTCTTTCCTAAGCCTGACTTAACGTGCAATCATTTGTGTATAGTGAACATAGCAACAAAACCAAATATACATCTCTTACATGTCTATCTAAATTATCCCTATATTCCTCACCACCATGAGGCTTTCCTCTGTCCTTGTTGGCCACTGTCCCTGCAAGGATCCATCTCTCTCTCTCTCTCTCTCTCTGTTTTTCCTGCTTCATGACCAAAACAAAGAGAGGAAGAATCTTGCCCAGGCTTAAAGCCAGATCCCTGAATGAGCCTCATTGTCTATACCTGGGAATCAGGAACAGCATCAACATCTCAAATAAAACAGATTAATGGGGACGACGAAAGGCATATTTCACATGGTTTCTATTTATTTTATTTTTAAATGAAGATTTGTAGACCCAAAGACCTTCAGTAATTCACATGAAATTCTATTGCTCTGAAGACATTTGGATTAAATGAAGTAAAGGAAATATGTTATTACCTGTTGAATGTTTGTGTGCCAGATCAGTTATGCAACTTGTTGTCCTCTTTTAGGTCCTGAGACTGGAAAGTGGAAGTGGTCTTAATTCCATCTTTTTTTTTTCTTTCCCTTGTAAAGTATATACTGAAACTCGAATACATTACATTTTATGTCCCTTTACTGGGAGCAAGGTCAGCCATTATTTCTTTGCCTAACCTTATTTTGAGAACTGAAAGAGAGAGAGAAGATAGAAGAGAGAGATATTTATGTGAACCTTGATATAGATGAAGGGTAAAGATAATAAAGACAACTGGATTATTGATTCATGCATGCAAAACTATTTATGGAATCTAAGCATTCCTTTGAGATCCCCCTCTAATCTAGTTTATTCTGAATAGCTTCCAAGGAGGATCCTCCTTGCAGTACTGGGTTGGCATCAGATAACGTGTTTCTCTGGCACCTTCCAAAGCCTAAACCCAGAGCTTGGAAAAATTGCAATGTTGACTTCCGATTGCTAAACTTCCCAATCAATGACCATGCGGGCTGGGTGATAGTGGGAGCTGTACCTCCCCTCTCTCCACCAAATAGCTATCCCAAGGTTTGCACGTACCCCAGCTGGTGCATCTGCTAGCTGTAGCCCTGCTTCTCCTCCTCTTCTGCCAGTTTGCCCTCTGCTTTTAAGGAAAATGAGCAAGAATAGAAAAAGGGCAGTCTTTTCCCATTCTTAGCTTTCCTTCTTCTTCTAGACGTCATTCTCAACCTTGGGTGACCTAGATGTTCTTGGACTGCAACTCCTAGAAACCCCAGGCAGCACAGCTGATGGTGAAAGCTTCTGGGAATTACAGTCCAAGAACACCTGGGTTACCCAAGGTTGAGAACCAGTGTTCTAGGACAGTGTTCCTCAACCTTGGGCCTCCAGATGTTCTTGGACTACAGCTCCCAGAAGCCTTCGCCACCTCCTCTGCTGGCCAGGATTTCTGGGAGTTGAAGTCCAAGAACATCTGGAGACCCAAGGTTGGGGACCACTGTTCTAGGAGGCTGTGTAAAGTGGACCTCAAGAGAGAAGCCAAACAAATGCTCAGTGGAAACAACAGAGAGAAGAAGATGACACACTGAGGAAGGGGATGCATTGACCGTCTCTGACCTAAGGGCATCTGAAACTTGCAGTCTGTGCTTGTTGCTATTGCATTTTTAGTAGAGTAGGTGTTGCCCTCCTGATAGTTTAACCTACAGTTCCTGTCAACCCAACTTGTCAAGGAAGTGGTCAGTTGTAGTCCAAAATATCTGGAGAACCAAAGCTTCCTCATTTCCTATAATGGATCTTTGCTTGGGAGAGGGGAGGAAAAATATCCTGATCTAGATACCTGGTTCCATGATTGCAAGCTTTTACTGATCCAGATTGACAGCTCTTTATTGCACTTCCAACTCGTTGAACTACCTTGGCTTAATGCTCCGTGGCTTCGTGCGTCCCTATGTGTTGCCTCATAAGCAGTTATTTCTCTTCTGCTTGAGGTCCTTTTCTTCATAATTCAAGTTGCAATATCACAAATTATGGTTATGTTGAGATGGAATACAGGTGGAGCATGAGGTGTGGATAATTACAGAGACATTTCAGAAATACCAGAAAGTTTTTATTCTGGCTGGTGGGAAGGGGTGCAGAACAAACCAGGGTTATTTCAGAAACAAGAAGAGTGTGCGCATACCTCTCCTTTGTTGCCCCTCTCAGAGAAAATACCTCTTTGATGACTAAAACCTCTAATGGATACTGTATTTTAAACTTTGTTAAAAGAAACCATAGAGTTCTGACCTATTAAACATAGATCTTGAAGCAACCCAAATGCCATGATTAAGAAAAGGCTACAAACTTGTGTCTTTGGTTTTCCATGTCAGAGTCAGAAACAAAAGAGACCATAACAAAGCCATAATACGTATAGGCTTGCAGAGGTTATAAATCTATTTGCCCATCTAAATAATATCTCTACAGTAAAAGCTGAGAACTGGGTCCTAAATATATAAAATCCCCTGGGGAAATAAGGTAGGAAAGCCTAAGGAGGAGGATGCCGGATTTGATTTCAGTAAATCATCTAAAAACGAAGGGCAGGAAGCAGCTGGATTGTCTTAGTCTGGGCTGCGTAGAGCAAGGTCTCCTAGTGAAGCACAGGAGGCAAAAGAAATATAGTAGACAGCAAGGAACTGGGTCCAGAAGGTTAGCCAAGACTCTCCCGGATGAACAAAAGGTTGACTGTTGTCCCAACAGTGGCACATTCCTATGTCCGTGTAGCATGTAGAAGAGTCAGAGATGGCACGAACAGTTTCATTGGTTTGCATGGCAGTTTTTTGGTTTGCTTCCTCATCTCCTATACACATATATACCTCTCTCTCCCTCTCCCTCTCCCCCCCCTCTCTCTCTGTGTGTGTGTGTGATTTGAATCGTACCTTAACTCAATTTGATTTAAATTAAATCCACCCTTTCTGTAGGCTGTGGCAGTCACATCAGTTTTGTCCATTCTGGCCCCTTGCTTTTGCAGTGTGGACAATTAACCACTGCTGCTGAGGAAGTCGTGTATGCAACAAGGGAAAGTTTCATAAGCCACTGGTCTGTCATCCCTCTCTCTCATGATGCAGGGTTTTTTTTGGGGGGGAGGGGAGAGGTTCCCAGGAGTGAACCAGATTTGGCCTTTCCCCTTCAGAGCCAGAGCCAACAGAATGACTGTCAGGGCAGCCTTAGGCCTCTAGGGAGTGTGTGATTGTTTCTGCAGTAGCCATATTTTACCACCTCTGTTGCTTTTTTAGGACACAGAGAAGCGTACCCCTCTTCACGTTGCTGCTTTCCTGGGGGATGCAGAGATCATTGAGCTCCTCATCTTGTCAGGTATGTGGTTCTGACATCCCTGTTAGTCTGTTTCAAAAGCAGATGATTTAAATTTCAAGATAAATACGCATAATTTAAACAATGGAAAGTGAGAGGAATGTATAGAATAAGCGACTTGTTTATACAAGGAAAACCTATTACAATTGGACAGCTCCAGGAGAAAACTAAGTACAGTATATAGCAACTAATTGATATCAGATAACCCAGATCAGAAATTTGGCAACTCAACTGCATAAAACACCGGGCTCAAATAGACCATTAACAGAAATAGAGAAATATTGTGTAGAGACAGGGAATAAAAGGAAAACAGGGTTAATTTCAGCAATTTATAAAAGTATTATAGATAAACAATTTGGAGACAATATGGGATCCAAGATAGTGTGGGAGACAAACTTAAAAACTGAAATATAAGAAAACACATGGAAAGAATATGGACCTCTCAACCTTACAAATCAGTGTCATCACAAGCTAAAGAAACAGTGTTAAAAGTACTGCACAGATGGAACTTATAGCCTGTAAAATTCAATAGAATAAATAAAGGAATATCAGATATGTGTTGGAGGAAGTGCAGGAATAAAGGAACTTTGGAACATATGTGGTTAACATGTCCAAGAGTGGAAATTTTCTGGTCTGAGGTAATTACGTGGTTGGAAAGTATAACAAAAGAAAAAATAATCTCAAATGAAACTTTGCTACTTTTTTCATTACTTATGGGAGGGAATGAAAACATTGTGGATAAAGAACTAATTGTGACTTATTAGGAGGAGCCTGTAATGAAATTGCCGAACACTGGAACGACTCTCAGGACTTGTCTTTGCAGGACGCTCAGGACTTGTCTTTGCAAAGATTTCAAAATAGAATATGGAGACTGGCTCTGATGGAAAAATTGACCTAGCGCATTAAACTCTATAGAGGTGAAATAAAACAAGATACAGTGGTGCCCCACTGTATTGAACGAATTAATGTCGTAATGCGAGGCACTACTGTAAATTTATGGAAGTATGGAACCCCTTGTTGGCCTCTGGTGCATGAGATCAATTGGAAAATGGCTGAAATGCTGATTAGTTTGAATAACTGTAGTGTTAGAAGTAGAACATATATAAATGTTTAAATATTATTAGTATGCTATAGGTAAGAAAATTATTGGAAGTGTAACTGTACTTATAGATAATTATTACTTTTTTCTTTTTTGTTATGTGACTAGAGGATTGTAACTTACTATTAGTAGTAATAATAATACTGTAATTAAAAAATTAAAATAGTTTTTTTCAAAAAACCCAAAAGAAAGAATTTTTTAAAAAGTAGCATGGTTTAAATGACCATCAGTGGCACCAGGGTTTGGTTTTTATTGTTGTAGGCTGCCCGACCGACATACTCTGGGTTGAGTGCAATGTGTTAGAATGATAAAGACCAAACCGTGAATCAAGGAACAAAACTAAAGGAAAAGTGAAAATGCTTGCAGCCTGCAAAAACCAGGGCAGTATGAACAGCAAATAGAGGAGTGCGGATGCTGAACAGACTAAAAAAGTGTTCTTAAAATTGACAGGTCTGACAAGAACCTGAGTAGAATTGTTAATACAGTACAGTTTTGTAAAACCATATGTAAGAAATTGTAAATGCTGTAAGTATTTGTAAGAATCACTGTAAATAAATACTGTAAAATACTGATTTAGGCAGCTGTGAAGGGACAAGATATGTAGTAAAACTGGTAACAGCTGTGTAAGGAAACCAATAATTGGCTGAAGGCAGAATAAAGCCAGCAGTTCCAGCTTTCAACCTTGTGGCATGGGTCAGAGGAGTAAGGCTGAGAGACAGATTTAAGAAGGACAATGATTTATTGGACTGAACCTATTGGTATTGCTGTGTATGACCAAAGGACTGAATAAAGACTATGCTGTATGTATGAACCTTGCTGTAAAACTTGATTCAATATAATATTTCTACAATTAATATTGTCTCTTTGCTTGATAACTCACTGAGCAGCTTTGTTCTCTGGGAAAACTACTAGTTGGCACCCTGGCATGCTACCAACTCTGTCAAAAATGCCTGTGATAGTAAAAAGTCCTTCACCTTATGCCAAAGAGACTATAACTGGGGATCCATGTGAGACTTTTTGGGAAGGATGTTAAAACATTAAAAGAAAACAAAAGACTTAACAGGACTACCCTTCTATCACTGCCAAAAGACTATTTTAGCTCTTATGACTTGTGTGTAGACTTGGTATAGTCACTATGTTGCTGTGTCAGAAACATATGGGGTTATCCAAAGCTTGCTGGATTATCCTGGAAAACTCTGTAAGGCTGGGTTGTGTAGTCATAAGAGTTTGTTTTGAGGTGAACAGGGTTGGTGTTAGCATGAGGCTGAGTTAAGGTAGCTCAGCTTCTTTTGTAGCTGATTTGAAATATAGTGAAAGGGCAGCAACTTGCTCTTCATTTATTTTTATTGTGTTTTTACACCCAGGAAGAACAGTAGGGGGGTGTTGCTGTGTTTTTGCCTCAAGTGCAAAAATAACTGGGTCAGCCTTGGAGTATTTTGCATCATGGGTTGGGATAAGGGAGGGGGGGTTAGTTCTTCTGTCTCACACAACAGAGTGTCTTGGGTTGGTTCTGCAGGCAGTCATTTCCTCCCCTTGACTGGCCCAGTATTGTGCAGAAGTCTGTTCATCTAGCACTGAGCTACTATATCAGCTTTCCAGCTTGGCCAGCCACTAAGCCAGAATAGGAGAGGGGCTCTGTCTGGGGACTACAGCTCCCAGATTTCCTCAAGGACATTGAATGTGCTCATTGGCTATGAAACGGCCAATGGCAGTAGGAGCAGTAAGAAACTGAATTGAAAATGGGATTGAGTGGAATAGCTGGAACCTTAAACAGGAGCACTTTGTTGCAATCCCCACTTACTAAGAAACTGCGAGGTGGGGTTTGCTAACTGCAAGCAGTTTCCGCTCTCAGAGCACCTGTAAGCTCCAGCTGCTGAGGACAGGCAACATTAGCTGGGACTTTGTTTCCATGGTCTCCTTATGAGCCTTCAGATGTATCCGGGAGGCTGTTATTAGAAACAGAAAGACAGGCTGGATGGATTGTAGCTTTGATCATTGCATTGTTCTTAACCTTGTGCAAATATAGGCAGCAAAATCAGTGCAAAAGGCAAGCTCAGTGGACAGGACAGGATTTTAGGAGCTCTACGGAGACCTTCTTTTCCCCCAGGACTGGTGAACATGCAGACCTTCAGGAGCTGTTGGGGTCCAGTTCTCCATGGACACCATCCAGCGTGGCCACTAGTCAGGGATGATGGGAATTGTGGTTCAACAGCACCTTGAGAACCACAGGCCCTGCTGTATGTAGATGCAATGTCTTTCCAGGTAGTGCTGGCATTCAGCATCAAGTTACTTGGCCTGCACAGCTTCTCCACCAACATAGCTGGGTCTTGAAAGTCTTCAGGTCTGCATTTTAAAGCCCTGACGCTGTTTGCATTTGTGTTGGTGCAGATCTGTAAAGAGAAGTTCAGTGCTGTGATACAGATGTACAACACAACCAGAACAACTTGTTGGCTTGGCCAGGTAGTGTTAGAAGCATTGTTTTCTTATTCATGAAAACCTTTGCAGAGAACCGAAAGACATGTGAGGAAATATTTAGTAAATATAAGCTTTTAGAATAAAATGAGTACCATTTTTTTCTGACTTTATACAACATTTCCTATTTCTTAAAATTTTTGTTTTTTAAAGGATGGTGTTTTGCCTTATATGGTTAAAATGGAATTATTTAAAATGATTGATGACAGCAGCATTCTCTATCATCTGTTTGAAAATTTCCAGCTGTTGCTGCTTTGATAATGAGTGTAGCTGCATAAATGGATTTGGAAAAGCATGAAGTAACATTATAAAGGAAATGTACAAGTTTAGGAGTATAATACAGTAACCAAGGAGATGGCAGAGAAACAAGAGTACATGGCATTCATTGTAGGCTTTGGTTTCACTCGCACACCCTAGCAAATTAATTTGTGGTCATCAGTTCATTCTCACTGCCGAAATGAGATCAGATATTCAAAATGGCAGATCTTGAATGTCTAAATCTGCTAATTAACATGTTAAACATTATTTTGATTACCATAGTAGTCTAGACAAATGAAGCATCCCAGTGGACATATGTCCAACTCTACGAGCATGGCTCTCACAAAAGTTTCAGGGGAGAGAATCTATTGCAGCTGTCAAATAACAAGTAAATGTATTGTAATCATTCAATGAAAATTTAGAACTCTGTAGGTAAATCTGCGTGAACTTTTAAAATATAATCACTTGTAAATTGCCTAGGTTCTTGTTGTTTTTTAACTCCATGCCTTGATTTTCTATTGCAGCTGTCAAATAACAAGCAAATGTATTGTAATCATTCATTGAAAATTTAGAACTCTGTAGGTAAACCTGAGTGCAATTTTAAAATATAATCACTTGTAAATGTCTTTGCCTAGGTTCTTGTTGTTGTTTTTTAACTCCATGCCTTGATTTCTTTTTTTTTCTTTTAGAAAGTACTGTGCAAATATTTAAGGGGAAGTAACCTGTATAAATTCCATTATTAGCCTATAGTGGTGGATGGTGCTCAGTGAGACTGGTAGGCAGATCATCTGACTACAGGAGGAAGCAGGAGTAGAGGTGTCACAACTGGCAGAGTAACTGGAAAATCATGAACAGAAAGCGGAGGGTTTGGAGAACATCTCTGAGCCTTATAGTAACCTAAGATCAACACCTCTGAGCCCACTGTCAGTCTTCTGTACCTAGCAACCTGTGACAAAGAAAGGGTAACACGAGACAAGTTAATTTGGAAACCATGAGGAAATACAGAGGGTTGAAGGCTGGAGGTTAGTATGGAGATCTGACCCAAATGACAGCACAGAAGTTCTCCTTGGAACCTGGGAAGGGCAAAAATGAAGCAAGAACTGTGCAAAGCAGACTGGAAAAATTGGAAAGGAAAAAAACTGAAGGAGAAATAATACTACATGGTGTTGGAGGA